TAGATCCACTGATAGCTTGCACCGTGCACCTGGAAAAGCTGCAGATACTCACTGCCAGCCTGTGAAGGCAGCTGGAAGGGAGGCTGTACTCTGCAAAGCCACAGGGTTGGAGCTGCCCAAGACTATGGGAACCCACCTATTCCATCAGCATGACCTGGGTGTGAGACCTGGGGTCAAAGGAGATCGTTTTGGAGCTTTAAGATTTGACTACCCCACTGGATTAAGGACTTTGTTTTAGCCCCTTTGTTTTGGCCAATTCCTCCCATTTGGAACGGCTCTATTTATGCTGTGCCTTTACCACCCTTGTATCTAGGAAGTAACTAACTTGCTTTTGATTTTACAGGTTCATAGGTGGAAGGGACTTGCCTTGTCTCAGATAAGACTTTGGACTGTGGACTATTTTTTTTGAGACAGAGTCTCACTCTGTTGCCCAGGCTGGAGTGCAGTGGCACGATCTTAGCTCACTGCAACCTCCACCTCCCAGGCTCAAGTGATTCTCCTGCCTCAGCCTCCTAAGTAGCTGGGATTACAGGCATGTGCTACCACACCCAGCTAATTTTTGTATTTTTAGTAGAGATGGGGTTTCGCCATATCAGCCAGTCTTGTCTCAAACTCCTGACCTCAGGTGATCTGCCCACCTCGGCCTCCCAAAGTGCTGGGATTACAGGTGTGAGCCACCATGCCTGGCTGACTGTGGACTTTTGAGTTAATGTTGGAATGAGTTGAGACTTTGGGGAACTTTTGGGGAGGCATGATTGGCTTTGAAATGTGAAGATATCAGATTTGGCAGAGGCCAGGGGTGAAATAATATGGTTTGGCTCTGTGTCTCCACCCTAATCTCATCTTGTAGCTTCCATAATTCCTGCATGTTTTGGGAGGGACCCAGTGAGAGATGATTGAATCACAGGGGCAGGACTTTCCTGTGCTGTTCTCATGATAGTGAATGGGTTTCATGAGATCTGATGGTTTTTAAAACAGGAGTCTCCCTGTACAAACTCTCTTTTTGCCTGCTGCCATTCATGTAAGATGTGACTTGCTCCTCCTTGCCTTCCACCGTGATTGTGAGGCCTCCCCAGCCATGTGGAACAGTGAGTCCAATAAACCCCTTTCTTTTGTATATTGCCCAGTCTCAGGTATCTATTTATCAGCAGCATAAAAACAGACTAATATGCTAAATAACAAACTTTTAAATAATGCATGAGGCAAAGAGGAAATCCCATGAGAAATAAGAAAGTGTTTCACAGTGATTGAAAATGAAAAAGAAAACATATAAAAAGCCACTAAAATCCTGCTTAGAAATAAAATTATCACCCTAATTTGCCTCTATTAGAAAAACCAGAAAGGTCTCAAATTAATATCCTCAGCTTCTACCTTTAAAAACTAGAAAAGGAAGAGCAAATTAAAAACCTAGTGAGCAGGGAAAAGGAAATAATAAAGATAAGATTTATGTAAAACAAAAAGAAAGTAGAGAAAATCAATGAAACTAAAAGTTGATTCTTTAGGAATATCAATAAAATTCATAAACTTCTAGTCAGACTGATCCAGGGGTTAAAAAGAGAGAAGATACTAAATACCAATAATAGAAATGAGAGAGAGAACATCACTACAAATTCTAGACATTAGAAGAAGAAATAAGTTAGACAACTTAGATAAAATATTTAGCCTCTGAAAGACACAGACTACCAAAGTTCATTCAGTTAAAAACAAGGTAACCTGAAAAGCCCTGTATTTATTATAGAAATTAATTGGTGGCTAGAAAAAAACAACCTTCCAGGCAAGGCACAGTGGCTCATGCCTGTAATCCCAGCAGTTTGGGAGGCAGAGGTGGGTGGATCACCCAAGGTCAAGAGTTTGAGACCAGCCCAGCCAACATGGTTAAACCCCGTCTCTACTAAAAACACAAAAATTAGCCGGGTGCCGTGGCACACACCTGTAGTCCCAGCTACTTGGAAGGCTGAGGCAGGAGAATAGCTTGAACCCGGGAGACAGAAGTTGCAGTGAGCTGAGATCGTACCACTGCACTCTAAATTGCGTGACAGAGCAAGACTCCATAAAAAAAAAAAAAAAAGAAAAGAAAAGAAAAGAAAAAGGAAAAGGAAAAGAAAAACTTTCCAACAAAGAAAACTCCAGATCCAGATAAATTCAATGGTGATTTCTACTACACATTTAAGGCAGAAATAATACCAACTGTACACAAACTCTTCCAAAAAATTCAAGAGAATGAAATATGTCTGTATTAATTCTTTAACGCCAGTACTACTCTGATATCCAAACCGGAAAACAACCTTATAATAATGACATTACAGAAGATTGTCATCTTCTGAACACAGATGCAGTAATCCTTAACAAAATTTTAGCAAGTTGAACCTGTCAGTATATAATGATGGTAATGCATCACCACCAAGCAGGTTTTATCACAGCAATGCAAGGTTATCATTCAAAAGCCAATTGATGTAATTTATCATATTAATAGATTAAACAATAAAATCTATATGATCATCCCAATAGATGCCACAAAACATTTGACAAATTCCTTCCTTCCTTTTTTTTTTTTTTAAACAAAGTGTTCATGCTTGTCTCCCAGGCTAGGGTGCAATGGTGTGATCTCGGCTGAGTGCAACCTCTGCCTCCTAACTTCAAGCAGTTCTCCTGCCTCGGCCTCCTGAGTAGTTGGGGTCACAGGCATGTGCCACTATGCCCAGCTAAATTTTGTATTTTTAGTAGAGATGGGGTTTCACCATGTTGGCCAGGCTGGTCTCGAACTCCTGACCTCAGGTGATCTGCCTGCCTCAGTCTCCCAAAGTGCTGGGATTACAGGTGTGAGCCATAGCACCCGGCCCCCACATTTATTCCTAATAAAAACTTGGCTAAATGCCGTGGCTCACACTTATAATCCTGGCACCTTGGGAGGCTGAGGCAGGTGGAACGCTTGAGGTCAGGAGTTTGAGACCAGCCTGGCCAACGTGGCAAAACCCCGTCTCTACTAAAATAATAAAAATTAGCTAAGCATGGTGGAGCATACCTGTAGTCCCAGCAGCTTATAAGGCTGAGGCACGAGAATTGCTTGAACCTGGAGGCAGAAGTTGCAGTTAGCTGTGATCATGTCACTGCACTCCAGCCTGGGCCACAGAACAAAACTGTGTCTTAAAACAAAGACAAAAGCAAAAACAAAAACAAAAACAAAAAACTCTCAGCACACTGAGAATAGAAGGAAACTTTTCCAAATTGATAAAGGGCTTTTACAAAAAATCTACTGCTGGTGTCAGTCATGTTGGTGATTGATAGAAAACTTTCCCTCAAAGAAGGAAAAAGTCACAGAGGTCTGCTTTTACCACTTCTACTTAACAATGTAATAGAGGTTCTAGCCAGTGAAATAAGGCAAGAAAAACATAAAATGCTTACAAATTGGAAAGAAAGAAGTAAAATTTGCAGACAAAATGATTGGCACTATAGAATATCCTAAAGAATCTAAAATAAAGCCACTAAATTAAAAAGTGAGTTTAGTAAAGTTGCAGAATAAAAGATCAATATGATCTGACAACAGATGTGAAAAAACTGAGCACTGAAGAATACAAATCATTGCTGATAAAAAGTAAAGAATAATTAAATGGAAAGCTATGCCATCTTCACAGATTGGAAGACTTAAATGTGTAATGATGTCCATTTTCCCCTAATTACTTGATGGACTTAATACAAGCCCAATGAAAATTCAGAAGGCTTCTTTGTAGAAAGTGACCAGCTAATTTTAAGATTTATATGGAAATCATATAATAAGGACAGGGAATAGCCAAAATATCTTTGAAAAGAACAACAAAGTTGGAGGAGTTACATTGCCTTTACCAAGATTTATTATTAAGTTGTATTAATTACAACAATGTGGTATTGGTGTAAACACAGACATACAGGTCAATGGAACAGAACTGAGGGTCTAAAAATTGACACACACATATATAGACAACTGATTTTCAACAAACATGGCAAGATAATTCAACTGGAGAAAGGTAATCTTTCTAATAAATGGTGCTGAAACAACTGCATAGCCATAACCAAAAAATAAATAAATAACTTCAATCCTTGCCACATACCATATACAAAATTAACTCAAAATAGATCATAGACCTAAATGTCAGAACTAAAGCTATAAAACTTCTAGAATAAAACATAGGCAAAGATTTTTAAATACACACACAACCACGATCTCTAAAAGAAGTAAATTAATCTATTGGGCTTAATAAAACTAAACACTTTTGGCTGGGCATGGTGGCTCATACCTGTAATCTCACTCTTTGGGAGGCCAAGATAGGAGGATCGTTTGAGCCCAGGAGTTTGAGATCAGTCCTGGAAACACAGAGGGACCCCACCCCCCAACTCTTCCCTCCAAATTAAAAAAGTTAGCTAGGCATGGTGGCACATACCTGTGCTCCCAGCTACTCAGGAGGCTGAGGTAGGAGGATCACTAGGGCCTGGGAGGTTGAGGCTGCAGTGAGCCATGGTTGTGCCACTGCACTCCAGCCTGGGAAACAGAAGGAGACCCTGTCTGAAACAACAACAAAAAACTTTTGCTCTCTCTACATTCACTGTTATGAAAATAGAAAGCTAAGCCATAGACTAGGAGAAAGTATTTGCAAAACATGTACTCAAAAAAAGAATTGTATTTAGAGCATATAAATAATTTTTACAACTTATCAATAAGAAAACAATCCAGGCAGGGTGTGGTGGCTCATGCCTGTAATCCCAGTGCTTTGGGAGGCCAAGGTGGATGGATCACGAGGTCAGGAGATCGAGACCATCCTGGCTAACATGATGACACCCCGTCTCTACTAAAAAATACAAAAAATTAGCCAGGCGTGGTGGAGGGTGCCTGTAGTCCTAGCTACTCGGTAGGCTGAGGCAGGAGAATGGCATGAACCCGGGAGACGGAGCTTGCAGTGAGCTGAGATCATGCCACTGCACTCCAGCCCAGGCAACAGAGCGAGACTCCATCTCAAGAAAAGGAAAAGAAAGAAAAGAAAACAATTCAATTGGGGAAAATAGGCAAAAGATCTGAACAGACATTTCTTCAAAGTAGACATGCATATGGCAAATATATACATGAAAAGATACTCAACGTCATTAGCCATTAGTGAAATGCAAATCAAAGCCACAATATTATTATTACACATCCACTAGAATGGCTAAAATTGGAAAGGCTGATCATAACAAAGATTGACAAGATAAGGGCAATTGATATTTCATAACATTGCCAGCTAGAATTTAAATGGTACAATCAGTTTGGCATTTTCTTTAAAAGTGAAACCACATCTATTATATGAACCCAGTCTTTCCACCCCTGGGTATTTACTCCAGAGAAATAACAGTATATGTCCACACTAAGACTTGTACACACAAATGTTCATAGTAGCTCCATTTGTAATAGTTAAGAGCCCCAGATGCACATCATCAAGTAAATAGATAATAAATTTTAGAATACTACTGGACAATAATAAGGAACTATCAATACTAGCAACAGGGAGGTTGAGTGAAATAAACCAGATAAAAACAAGACATACTATGTAATTCCATTTACGTAAAATACTAGAAAATTCAAACTAATTTATAATGACAGAACACAGATCAGTTGCTGCCTGGTGAAGGGGCAAGGAGGCAAGATAAGGAAGAGATGGACACAAAGAAATTTGGGTGTCCTCCCCCTCATGAATGTGGTGATGGCTTCAGGTGTATATGCATGTGTCAAAACTCATAAAACTGTACAATTAAAATACTTAAATATCCTTTATACTGAAGTAGAGTTGTCAAAAAAACTTATGTAGAGAAAATCTGTAAGTTAGACAGAAAGAGATAAAATTCAATTATCCTTAAAGGTAACTCAAGAGTTACAAACCAAGTAAAGCCTGGTAAAGGTCTTAGTAAAAATAAAAACACTATGATTGGTCACAATACAGTGAGTCAGAAAAATGATAACAAACATATATTTCTTTATTCTATCAGGTCAGCCTGCAAAATCTCATTTCCTGCTGGGCGTCATGATGTCTCTTTCCTTTCTTCCCTCTTCTGCAAGTTCTCACTTTTTGTGTGTGTTTGGCCAGTGTCTAGAAGACGGGTCCACCTTTATGCCTGTGCCCAAGGAGCCCTAAATTTGGCTCCATCCCCGAGGGTGGAGGACGACTCTGAATCCTCATCCATATTCTTCAGAGTGGGAACTCCTAAAAGATAAACAAGCCTCTCTTGCTGATACCAGTTACTTCTCTCAGTAAGAATAAGGGGGTGGGGCATACAAAGAACCCTGTCCTGCCACACAATAAGTGCTCAAATGTGTTTTACTACAAATTCTAAGCACTAATGAGTTAAAAGAAGGAGGAAAGTAAGTGATGGTGGTGGAATTTGAACTGAGCCTTAGTGAAGACATAGAATTTAGATTCTAAACAGAGAGGATAGGGCAAATGAAGAAAACAAGATAGGAAAAGACACAGCAGTAGCAGAAAGCAATTTGTTTAAAGGACAGTACAGAGACCTAAACTTACTAGAGTGAAAGAATTCTATTAGACAAGTGGGGGACAGGCTGGGTGCGGTGACTCAAGCCTGGAATCCCAACACTTTGTGAGGCCGAGGCGGGTGGATCACTTGATATCAGGAGTTTGAGACCAGCCTGGCCAACATGGTGAAACCTAGTCTCCACCAAAAATACAAAAAATTAACCCAGGTGGTGGCTAAGGCAGGAGAATCGCTTGAACCCAGGAGACAGAGGTTACAATGAGCTGAGATCACGCCACTGCATTCCAGCCTGGGTGACAGAGTGAGGCTCCATCAAAAAAAAAAAAAAAAAAAAAAAGAAAAGAAAGAAAAAACAAAAGTTTGGGCAGCTAGGATGGGTCAGATTATTGAGAGCCCTTGAAAATCAGCATGAGAATTTAGATTTAATAGAATAAAATACAGAAAGCTATCAGATTTTAAGTAAAGGGAGCATATAACTGCAGGGGAATTTATGCAAGTATCTTGTTCTGAAAGCCAGTAAGAACAGAAGTTTGTGTTGGGCATGGTTAGTAGGGAAAAATCTCTCCCAACAAATAAAAAGTCACGTCAAAGGCTATGATCTATTGGGAATGAGTCATCCATAATATAAGGTCTATCAGCATGTACTATTTGTCTAGTCCTGGCAAATATTATTCCAATTTCTATTGTACAAAGAAAGAAACTCAAACATCTCAAATTGCTACTAAAATACAGACATATATGCAAGTTCCTGTTTCCGGTTCCACCTAATTTACCTTGGCACCATTTCCACAGAAGTCAAATATTTGGTGCTTTGAAACAAATGTAGAACAGATTGCAGGGTGTGGCCTGTACAACTCAATTTCCACAGTTTGGCTTTTCCATGTAATTTTCAGATATAAATTACTTCCCTACCAGGGCAACAGTGGAGGCAGGGAATAGAGTCAAAAGCATTGGCTAGGAATCAGAAGTCTAATTGTGTGATTATAGGCAAGCCATTAGCTTTTCTGAGTCTCAGATCTCTCTTCTAGAAAATTGGGGCTAAAGTCAAAACTTTATAGTGTTTCTTTGAGAAGGCAATCAGATACTACATAAAAAGATTGTCTACTTATGTTATATAAATAATTAAACAGCAAAATTGCAAGCTGTTACAGTCAAGAGATGTTTGATGATGCAACAAGAATTGTTTGATGGCAAACCAATGACTTCTACACAAAGGAGACATTTTTAGATAGTACCTTCGCTGGAAACTGTTTTCTTCTCACTAAAAGTCAGCAAGACTGGAACAACCTCCCAAGCTGTGGTTGGAAGATTGAAAGCGCCTTCTAGAGGAGACACTGAGAACTGAGAAGGAGAAAATAGATTTCTGAGAATACTATGCAATCACAGCTGATTTGTTATAGATCATACATTGAGACAAACCTTCTGAATCTTCAGTGTTTTTTATTGATACATGTAGTATAAAATTAGAAACAGGAACATAAGTACTATTATGAAAACTATACTCAAGTGTGGATACTGATCAACTGACACAGAAAAAATAAGAGTATGCTGTAATTGGTATGGAAGGAAGTTCACTGCTATCTAAATACATGTGGAATGTGAAATGGTATGGAATACATAAGAGGATCAGTGAATGACATTCAACCAGAATGATTACATATAGCATCTAAACATGACCTACTTTTGTTTATTTCTCACTGATTCCCTAGAACAATGCTGTCCAATAGAAATGTGTTAGCTACATATGCAATTTGAATTTTCTAGAAGTCACATTTTAAAAAGTTAAACAAAATAGGTGATCTTAATTTTAATAATATGTTCTATTTAACCAAATCTATGCAAATTATCATTTCAACTCATTATCAATATAAAAATTATTAATGAGATATTTTACAGTCTTTATTTCACATAGAGTCTTTGAAATCTGAAGTGTATTTTACATTTACTGCACATTCCAATGCAGACTAGGCACATTTAAAGACAGCCACAGCTCTAGAAAGTAGGGATTGGAAATTAACACCAGATTCACACTATATATTTGTAGATTATTTTCTATATACCATTTTTAAAGAAAAGCAAAGCTTCAACTTGCATTTAGTATTTACAATATTTCTGGCCAAGCTCTCTTGGAACTTCTGCAGAAGAGAGAAAGAATAATGATGGCTATCTGAAAGATCTTAGTTTTTTGTTTGCAATCAGAGGTTGAGATATTTTTTGGGACATCTGAGAATTTTATCACCATTTCAAATGAATGTGAAGTCTTCAATTAAAAAGTATAAGCCAGAAGCCATCATTAAGCTCCTGTACTAGTCATGCTTTTATCGCTTCTCATAATTATCTTAAATACATTTACTATTCATGACACACAAAATAATTAAACATTGCATTTAAATGGATAAGAAAATAATATGACTTCAGGAAGGCCCTTATCCCTTTAGACAGAGCTATAGGAAAACACAGTTGCAGTTAGGTAAAGGACCAGAGCAGATTATCTGTGCAAATGTGTAACATCCATGCCCTGGTCATGAACTTTTAGTAGCATCCCTAGTCATGGTAGCAAAATAAAAATTGCTCCCACGCATTTCCAAACTCCCCTTAGTGGGAATGATACCACCCTCCCAGTTTGAGATGCACTGCTTGAGACTTTTGTTAAAATTTGATCAGTTAACAAGGCACCTGTGGTTGTAAACATTCTGTTTTCTGTAGTTTCTCTTACCAGTAAAAAGGAGAAGATTATAACATCAATATAAAAACAAAAACAATAAAACCCACATAAACTCAAAAGTCCATATTCAAGTGACTTTGCTTCACATTTTTTTTTTTCATTTAAAGCTAACATCACCTTAAAGGATGTCTCACACTTCTGAATTTATATTTCCTGACCTCCAAAAGGGATCCTATCTATTATTAAAAAGTCAAAACATAACAGATGCTGGTGAGGTCGCAGAGAAAAGGGAATACTTATACAATGGTAGGGTGGATAAGAAAATGGAATACCACGGAAGACCATGGAATACTACGTAGCCATAAGAAAGAATGAGATCATGTTCTTTGCAGCAACATGGATAGAGCTGGAGGCCATTATCCTAAGCTAATTAATACAGAAACAAAAAACCAATTACTGTATGTTCTTACCCATAAATGGCAGCTAAACATTGAGTACACATGGACACAAAGAAAGAACACCAGGGGCTACTTGAGGGTGGAGGGTGCAAGGAGAATGAGGACTGAAAAATTGCCTATCAGGTACTATGCTTATTTATTAGTTGGGTGTTGAAATAATCTGTGCACCAAACCCCTGAGACATACAATTTACCTGTATAACAAACCTGCACATGTACCCACTGAAACAGAAAGTTAAAGAAACGAACACAAAAGGGGTCTTATATTGTTCTACTTCCACATTCTCACATTTGTTCCCTCTTCTGCACTATCTTACCTCAAATTTACATCTTAATGAGTTCTATTGTTTGTGTGTGTGTGCGTGTTAATAGTTGAACCATTGATACAATTTGACCTATTTGGAATGGGTGTGAAGGACTTTTTCTTTATTTTAATTAAAGCACATGTTTCTCAATTAGGACCTAGGGAATATAGGTTGAGACTTAGTACATAGTCGTTAGAATGACAACTGAAATTGAAATTAAATAAATATGTATCGGTTCATGATGGTTGACCTCATTTACCCCATTATAATCAGTGCCCTCCACTACAGAACAGCAAACTCACTCCTAGCATTGACATCTACTAGTTGTATGTTCGAGATTGCAGAAGAAGCAATATAGAGTTAATGACTGTCATAATGACTGAGATGCATGATGACATCAGTAATTTTTTAGTAGATCTCTTTTTGGACACAAAAATCACCACCAATATGACTATGTGTCTTTAAAACTATATTTACGTATATACATATATATACATATTTAGGTGTATAGCACAACCAAACCTCTATTGGGAGTATAAACCTTTTTTTTTTTTTTTTTTTTCAGACGGAGTCTTGCTCTGTCCCCCAGGCTGGAGTGCAGTGGCGCGATCTCGGCTCACTGCAAGCTCCGCCTCCCGGGTTCACGCCATTCTCCTGCCTCAGCCTCCTGAGTAGCTGGGACTACAGGCGCCCGCCACTGCGCCCGGCTAATTTTCTGTATTTTTAGTAGAGATGGGGTTTCACTGTGGTCTCGATTTCCTGACCTTGTGATCCGCCCGCCTCGGCCTCCCAAAGTGCTGGGATTACAGGCCTGAGCCACCGCGCCCGGCATGAGTATAAACCTTTATAGGTACTCCAGAGCAATGGTTAGCAAACTATGGCCCACGAGCTAAATCCAGCCTCACATCTGCTTTTGTAAATAAAGTTTTAATAGAACACAGACATGCTAATTCATTAATATATTGTCTATGGCTGTTTTAATGCTATATAGCAGCAGAGTCAAGTGGTTATGACAAAGACTGTATGACATGCAAAATCTAAAATACTCTGTCTCTACAGAAAATGTTTGCTGACTCCTGATATAGATTGTAAATGAAAGGTCAGCAGAATACATGTGCATTTTTTCTTTCTTTTTTTATTGCTAGAATCGGTTGTATGATATGGGATCAAGGAGCTGCTAATTGTGGGACCAACGTCTCCTCCCTACAGAGCTAGAAATCTTGGCACTGTGTCATGTCAAAGATGAAAAACAACAAATGAAGTTCATTTTGATGAGGTTTAAGAAATGTATTTTCTAGCGCATTTTGAGGTGTATCTAATCTTTGGGTTGTAGAAAATGACAACGTGCTTCAAAACAGTTGAAAAGAACGTTTTAATCTGTTATGTTCATTAGTATTTTATAATAATTTCAGAACTATCATCTAATAAAGTATCATAAAAGACTATATTGAATTGCAGTAAAAAGTTTTGAGTCCATCTGTTAACATTTATTTGTCTAGTTATTGTGGATTTCATGCTTATAAAACTATTTGTAAAACATATGATCATTTAAGTCATATTGCCTCATAAATTTTGGCCAGCTTATTTTTCGTAGACCCATGTTGGGGTTTACTCCTTCAGCTGATTTTGGTTTTCATGGACATTAAAAGAGATGCTACAGAGTTTCTCTATAATTTGCCGTTTAATGAGTGTCTTCATCACGAATGATGGAAAAGTGTATAATGAAGTTAGTACGTTCGCTTCGAACCATGACTAAGTACCTGGTACTGGACTTGCCTTCCTGTCACAAACGAGTAAGAAACTAGAAAAACTACTTAAAGCAACTGTTTTCAGGCAATGATAAACAGGCAGCATGTGACTGATCCATGAGCGCAAAACACGCAGGTGAACTCCATAATCAGGAAGGAGACACTTAAGTAAAGTGGTGGCCTTGCTGAGTTGAGGAGGAAATTATCAGAGTTCAAGGTTGTTGGAATGGCTGAAATTTTGTAGGCTAGAATATCTGAGCGCTCTCTCTCTCTCTCTCTCTCTCTCTCTCTCTCTCTCTGTGTGTGTGTGTGTGTGTGTGTGAGAGAGAGAGAGAGAAAGAGAGAGAGAGAGAGGAAGAGACAGAGAGAGGAGAGCCAGAGAGACAGAGAAGGGGGGGGGAGAGAGAGAGAGAGAGAGACAGAGAAGGGGGCAATACTGAAAGCTTGTATGGAAATTCACTGAGGATACAGATGTGCCAGGCGAGACCTTGCAAGACTTAGCAGAGTTTGCCTGCTGTAGGGGAAAGGCTGAAGAGTGATACTAAGGGTGAGGCAGTGCTGGAAGACATTAGATTTCCAACCTAGCAGTGGAGTAACTTCACTAATACCTTGAGCACTTAATTGAGAATCCAGAACCAAGCCTTAGGAGAAAGACCCACACAAAAGAGTAAGGGGAATATGCTAGGACTAAATTTAAAACCAAATAAGACTTATACAGAAAATGAATAATACCAAATTTCACATGACCCAAAGAATCCACCACTAATTAAGCTGCATGCCACACAAAACATAATATCATTTAAATAAGCCAACATAATCCAGATTCCCTATAAATATCACTACAAATGTCCAGTATACAATTAATTTTTATCAGATATCCACAGAGATAGAAAGATGTGAACCATAAGAGAAAAGGCAGTCTATTAAAAAAAATGTCTGTGAGATGATCCAGATGTTGGGATTAGCAGAAAAAAAATTTAACCTAGCTTTTGTACTTTCAAGGACTTAAAGGAATAGAGTCATAATAAATGGGATATCAGCATATAAATGAAAACTTTTTTAAAAAAAGACATATTTCAAGAACTAAGAAGTACAGAATTTGAATTTAAAAATTCACAATATGGGCTTATTAGTAGACTGGACACTGCAAAAACAACAAAAAAGTTAACTTGATGATAGATCAATAAAAGTATTCAGTCTAAAGCTCAGGAAAAAAATGAACTGAGTCTTGGTACATATCAATATGGAGTGGTCTTACATACATATAATTGGAGTCCCAGAAAGGGAGCAGAAGCATAATTGCACAGAAAAAATATTTAAGACAATAATGGCTGAAAATATCCCAAGTTATCATAAAGCAAATGGACAAATCTAGGAAACTCAGTGAATACCAAATAGGCTAATTACAGAGAAAATCACACCTAGACACATTATGGTCAAACTGCAAATAACCAAGTATTGGGAAAGAAAAGTTTTACAGGCAGTCTGAGAAACATAATACATTATGCATGGACAAAAATAATAAAGTGATAGCTGACTTCTCATCAAAAACAAGAGGTTAAAATCATCAGAGGGCTTAAAGTGCTGATGATGTATAAAAACTGCCAATCCAGAATCCTATATCTAGAAGAAAATCCTTCAAAACCGAAGACAGAATCGATATTTTCAGACAAATAAAAACAGAAAATTCAACACCGATAGACCTCCACTGTAAGCAATGCTAAAAAAATTCTTTAGGATGAAAGATGACATACCAGATGGAAACTGAAATCTGTAATGTTTTAGTTATCCTTTTGATATAATAGATTTAGTAATTTAAAATAATAATCATTTATTATTTCTCCCTATTCTATAGCTTTGCTTACCTGGATGATTCTCCTGCTCTGGATATTATTGGCTGGGGTCACTCAGGTGGCTGCACTCAGCTGGGTGTTTAGCCAGGGCTGGAACTTCCAAACTAGCTTCATTCACATGTCCGGTAGTTCAGCTGTGTGGCTGAAACGGTTGGGATGGTTGGCTGAAATGTTTTCATTCTTTAGTAATCTACTCTAAACTTATTTATTTGTTGGCCAGATTTCTAGAGGATAAAAGTAAAGGTGTGTATGGCTTCTTAGGGGCTAGGCCTAGAATTGGTATGACATCACTTTCACCATGTTTTGTTCATCAAAGCAAGTTAAAAAACCAGCCCAGATTCAAGGGGTGGGAACATAGATTCTGTTTCTTTTTCTCTTTTCTTTCTTTTTTTTTTTTTTTTTTTGAGACAGAGTCTCGCTCTGTCACCCACGCTGGAGTGTAATGGTGTGATCTCGGCTCACTGCAACCTCTGCTTCTCAAGTTCAAGCGATTCTCCTGCCTCAGTCTCCCAAGAAGCTGGGATTACAGGTATGTGCCACCACGCCCAGCTAATTGTGTGTGTGTGTGTGAGTGTGTGTGTGTGTGTATTTTTAGTAGAGACAGGGTTTCACCATGTTGTCCAGGCTGGTCTCGAATTCCTGACCTTGTGATCCACCTGCCTTGACCTCCCAAAGTGCTGGGATTACAGACATGAACCACCATGCCCGGCTGATTCTATTTCTTAAAGGTAGAAGCAACATGCACATACAAGAATGTGAATACTTTTTGACAGCTATTTTTAAAGATAATTCACCACAAACAGGAAGAAATGAAAAGAACTGGAAATAGTAAAATGTAGGTAAATACATAAAAGGTAATATATATTTTTCTTCTCTTAATTTCTTTGAAATACATATGACTAAGGCAAAAATAACAATGTGCATAGATGTTATATATATGACAACAAAGCACAAAGGACTTGGGGAGGTGGTAAGTAGAACTTTACTACTGCAAGGCTGTTTTATTTTACATGAAGTATCATAATTTTAACTCTAAGGCTGTGATAAGTTAAGAATGTATATGATAATTCTCAGAAACACTGTAAAGCAATAATGCAAAAAGATATAATTAAAGCCAACAGAGGGATTAAGATGAAATACAAAAACATTAATTAACCCAAAAGAAAGCAGAAAGTGGAGAACAAAGGAATACAAAACTAATGGGACAAATAAAAAACAAATAGCAAAATGATAGACTTAAACTCAACTATCTGTTGTCTGTAACAGAAGCACATTAAATTAAAAAACACAGGTTGAAAGTAAAAGGATGGATAAAGATATAACAGTAAACAGTAAGCCAGGAAGGCTGTAGTGGCTATACTAATATCGGATGAATTAGACTTCAAGATAAGGAGTATTATCAGCGATAAAGACATTTCATAATGATAAAATGGTCAATTCATCAAGAAGACACAAGAACCACAAATGTTTATATGCCCAATAACAGAGATTCAAAAATGCAAAAGAAAAGCTGAAAAAAATAAAGTGGCAAATTCACAACCACAGTTTGAGTTTTACACTCCTATCTCAATAATTAATAGTAACACTACACACAAAACAATCAATACAATATAGAAGATCCGAAGAAAACTATTAACCACCTTAATCACATTGACGTTGATGGACACAATGCTCAGTAACTACAGAATACTTATTCTTGTCTACTGCTCATAGAACATTTACCAAGATAGACTATATTATGGGCACAGTAAGTCTCAAAAAACTTTAAAGTATCAAAATTTCAGAGTTTGTTTTCTAACCATGGCAGAAATAAACTGGTAATCTCCAACAAGAGTAGTCATAAAAAAGAGAGAAGATGCAAATGATCAATATCTGTGTTTCATTTATCTATTCCTATGTAAGAAATCAGTGCAAACTTCAGTGACTTAAAATAACAACCGTTTTATTGCTCATAATTTTGTGAGTATAGGGCTGAGAACAGCTCACCTCTGCTCCGTGTGTTGTCAACTGGTCTCGCTCATGTAGTTGCATTTGGCAAGTGCCTGATTTAGGTTACACAGAGTGAGATGAATTTCTTCACATGTCCAAAACCAAGGTGCTGACTGTTGGTTCCATGTGGTCTCTCTTTCCCTGTGGTCTTTCACACTCCAAGGGCTCTTTCTTCACCTGGCCACTCTCTCCAGCAGGATAGGCTGGTCTTCTTTTTGTAGCTACTCAGAGCACTGAAACATGAAAAAAAAAAAAAAAGAAGAAAAAACTGTGTCTTTGAGGATGCAGTCCCTGGGGTGGAATTCTAGCCCGTGTATTTTAGTTTTCTCTATATTATTTTCTGAGATATTTTTGTTTGTATGCTTTCATACCACATTCCTTTTTTATTCCTGTTAGCTGTGATATAGGATAGTCTATTTATGATGAAGTCTCTTCAACTGTTTGGCTGTGTGAAGTTTGTCCTTTAACAGATTGTACAGGAAGCGTTCATGGAAATAATATTCCTTAACTGACAGTTTGCAACTTTAAAAACAACATAATTCATCACCATATTAAGTTGCTCTTTAGTACAAAGCAATTGTTAAGAACATCTTTTTCTTAGGACATGTTTTCTTACAGATTGAAATCTAGAAAAGTCTTTTGCATGCTTTATGTTTTCATATTTGTCACGTCTTTTTTTTTTTTTTTTTTTTTTTTTAGACGTGGTCTTGCTATGTTGTCCAGGATGGCATCGAGCTTTTGAACTTTTGAGCTCAGCGAGCTTCCTGCCTCAGCCTCCGGAGTAGCTAGGACTACAGGTGCTTGCCACCGCAACTTCCCTCCTTCCTTCTTGTTTATGCTATTGGATGTGATCTAGTTGATTTTTAAAAATCTCTTCTCTCCAACACATTTTCCGTCAGAATTGTCGCCTGGGTAAGAAAAAGGGTAGGTAGGACACATTAAGTTATTCCCATTGTTTCCTACTGCTCCTTAGAGGTGTCTGAGAACTTCAAGGAAAATCAGAAAGTTCTTCCTCACTTTCGGGAGAACATAAACTTTTAGCCATGTAAAATAATTTCTGGGCTGGTTTTGGTGAATTTATACCTCAAGCCAATGGGAGAAAAGTAGCCAGACTAAGCCTCTAGTCAAGAAAGTAATGATTATGTATGTTATTTTGTGTGTGCTCTCCTGAACTATGCATAATTTATGTTAGCCCTGCCTGTAGAGTTAGAGCACAAGCTTGAGTGAGGACTCAAGAACTAATGACAGAAAGAGCAGCAGAAAGAACTTTTCTTGCAAGTCCTTAACTACTGCATATTGTTTATGAAGACAACATAGAATCAACTATTTGTAGCATTTTAAGGAATCCATGTACAATTTTTTTTTTTTTTAAGACAGGGTCTCATTCTGTCGCCCAGGCTGGAGTGCTGTAGCGTGATCACAGTTCACTGCAGCCTCCTCCTCCCCGGGGTCAGGTGATCCTCCCACCTCATCCTCTCGAGTAGCTGGGACTAGAGGCATGCACTACCACCCCAGCTTATTTTTAAAAATTTTTTTTGTAGGGACGGGGTTTCATCATGTTGCCAGGCTGGTTTCGAACTCCTGAACTCAAAACGATCCGCCTGCCTTGGCCTCCCAAAGTGCTGGGATTACAGGCATGAACCACCGTGCCCAGCCTCAAACTCTTACTAGACCCTTTAATTTCCCCTCCGATACTCTGATTCTACCCAAATTGTTCACCTTCACAGAGGAAACTCAGTGATTCGTGGGGGAGCTTATTATTTGTGCATCCTCATTTGTGGACAAAATTCTTTCTTGCTGTGACTTGAAAGCAGCCTCCCTTTAGCTTTCACTTATTAGTCCTAGTTCTATTCTCTGCTGCTAAGAAAAAAGGTCTGATTCTTCTTTCACGGATCAGCCCTCCAAATATTGGAGAAGCACACTGCGTTTCCTTAACCGTCTTACTTTTGACCCATATTTCATTTATTTGTCTCAACGTCCCTCATGCAAGTTGAACCAGATGGGTCCGCAGAACAATTTTTGCTGAGAAGGCAAAAGAAATTCTCGCCCAAATTGTGGAGAAGGGAGTCGAACCAATTAAACCCAAAGCTAAAACTGTAATAGAAAAGAACCTTCAAGCTCGCAATGAACAGGATATGCATGCATTTGTCTCGTCACAGCCACTAGCCACGCCTCCACTCGTGCAGTGCGCCTGCGAGCCGAGCAGAAACCAATGGCCCATCATAGTGAATTTCTCGGGTAAAATGACATTCTGCGCTTTTGAATGCTCCCTTCGCCCAGCCGCCGACCCCTCGCCCCAATTTCCATTTTAAATGAAAGTCTCTCACTTTCTAGCTGAGACAGACAAAAATAAAGCTCGGGCAAAACTAATCGGAGAGAGGCAGTTCACTGTCACTTCCTGGGTCACTTCCAGAAGTCACTTCCGGGGTCGAGGCGAGGCCAACAATACGCCTGCTACCGCAGGAGTTACGAGCTGGGCCGCGCGCAGCCTGAATGCCTAAACCAGGTTTTGCGCATGCTCATATAAAGCTCTCCTAACCCGTCTTCCGGTGGGAATTTCTTCACGTGGTCCGGAGTCGGAGACTGAGTTTAGCTTTACTGAGGAGCTCTAATTTTAAGCGGGTAAGTGCCGCAGATATCGTCCGTGGTTCCTGCGTTTAAATGGGACGGGAAGGGGTGTGTCAGGATTCATCCATGTTCTCCTGATATTTCTTCCTAATACCTGAAACCTTTGGAGTCTGAGAACGAGAGAAGGGGCTAGAGAAGCTTTGGTTGCCGTGGCAACTGCGGGACACCAATTTGGATTTTTGAGGATTTGGAAAGGGAGGATTTGTGTAACTACTCCTCAAAATACATGATGAGTCAGATTCAAATTCATTTGTTACTTATAATTCATACTCGTAGCCACAGAATTTGATTTTAGAAGGTTTTCTCTGGGTGTAATGCAGAGAAGCAAAATCTGAGCCAGGGTAATTATTTAGAAAGCTAATGCAGTAATTAGGCACTGTTTGAAGGGGTCTTGAACTAGGGTAGTGCTGTAGGATTACAGAGAAGAGGGGAAATTGGGGAAATTTGGGAGGCAGTATCAGGGGCACTAATACTCGATTTCATATGGGGAATGAGGAAGGGGCCCTGAGCATCTTTAGGAGTAAGTCCAAACTCAGCTTGGCTTATGATTATTTTTTTAGATTCGTTTCTCACCTTCCGCAGCCCCCTCCACACACACCCCGACTTCTAGTCATGCTAAGTAGTTTAGTGTTCTATTTCCTGGAATAACGTCCTCACCTTTTTTGTGATGTTAGGCAGGTTCTATCATTTCACTAAGCCCCTCAGTTTTTTCAGTCTTAACGTGGAAGAAAGTAATAGTACCCACCTCAGGATTGCTGTGGGGATTAAATTAGATAATTTATACTTCTGGTGCGTAGTAAGGGCCTAATAAATATTAGCTGCTAGTACTATTCTTATTATACTTCTCGTTTTGTTATTATACGTTTTGCTGTTTCTTCGTCTAGACCTGAGATTTTTTTAAATTAGAGGGGCAGTATCTTACTTATCTTTATATGGACTTGAAACATTAGTAGTTCGGTCTTTTTAATGTCTCATTCGTTTTGGCTGTTGCTGACATAGTTAAATTCATTTTTTTAAAAGAGCTGACAGGTATCATGCATTTTGCTGATCAAATTGTATTTATTAGATAAAAAGATAGCTCTTTTTCTGTACAACTCAGAAGACTGTGGATTAAGATGTACAGAAAGTAACTGATATCTCAGTTTGTAATAGGTATGAGTGATTTCAGTGAAGAATTAAAAGGGCCTGTGACAGATGATGAAGTGGAAACATCTGTGCTTACTGGGGCAGGAATGCATTTTCCTTGGCTTCAAACATACGTAGAAACTGTGGGTAAGTAAAACAGTAACATTGAGCCCTTTTAACTTAAAATGTAAGGAGATGGTAAGATTCAATATGGATACAAAATCAATAACCAGGCTGGTTTAATTTTCAAGAGGAATATGTGGAGTGTTTTTAGGCTGTAAGCCAAAAAAAAGTGTTTTTTCTTTTAGAACTCTTTGACTTTGGATTAACAGTAGTCTGTATTATGCTAGATACACATTTTTTCCAGTAATACTTACTGAGAACTTTTATTTCTGGCATTGATTAAATATTGGGGAGTCATAGATGAAGAAGATATGGTCTCTGCCATTGAGGAAAACATGCCCAGGAAGTGTTCAAGAAGTTGCTGTTGAATTGCATTGAAATTATTTCAAATAGAATTGATCACATAATAGATTTTTTTAAATTTATTTATTTTTTTTTTGGAGACAGAGTCTTGCTCTGTTGCCCACACTGGAGTGCAGTGGCTAGATCTCGGCTCACTGCAACCTCTGCCTCCCGGGTTCAAGTGATTCTACTCAACCTCCCAAGTAGCTGAGATTACAGGTACCCGCCACCACGCCTGGCTAGTTTTTGTATTTTTAGTAGAGACAGGATTTCACCATGTTGGCCAGGCTGGTCTTGAACTCTTGACCTCAAGTGACCTGCCCTCCTCAGCCTCCCAAAGTGGTGGGATTACAGATGTGAGTCACTGCACCCGGCCTAGATAAAAGAGCATTTTCCCTCATTTTTATCTAATGTAAATGCAAGCATGTTTTTCTATGGGATCAAATTTCCCCCATTTTTATCTAATATAAATGCAAGTATGTTTTTCTATGGGATAAATTCCCTATAAGAATTTATTTAATATAAGTATAAATAAAAGAAGCTATTATTTGCATGCTGGCGTATTGAGTGGTTTACATTTGGGATTACATTTGAACCAGCATTTTACTTACTGCCCTTAAATATGTATTTTTTTGCCCAGACTTTTCTCCCCTTGACAGAGATTCCTTGGCTCCTAAAATTTCACTTCCATTTTTTCTTTCGATCTAAGTATCATCTCATTTAATGATCTCAGTAAATTCTCAATAAATTTTTGTGCTAGGCAGTTTAAGTAGGAGGAAACTGAATCTCAAAGACATTAAATTCGTAAGTGGTGGTATCAGAAGTAAAATCCAGGTTTGTCTGATCTCAAAGCCTACACTTTTAACCACTGAGATATATTTTTTAAAATGAGACAATATATGTAAAGTACCTAGCATAGTATCTCATGCATAGTGAGTGTTGAAAAATAATAGTGCCTTTCCTCTCCTTATTTTAGTTTTGCTAGATTAATGCACGTGGCTTAAGGCAGATTTGAATGAATGATACTTCAGAGATAGTGCTACTTCATCCCTGGTAGGGAACTAATTTAAATTTCCTATAGTTATATCATACCTGGGTATGTTTCTGTTTCCAGTGTTCTATAGAAAGTCCGAGTCAGTCTGCAAGCAGATAGGTTTAAGACCAAAATTTACATGCTTAGAAATATTTTATATGTCGTGGATAGCCTGTTAAACCCAAAATACTTTTGGTCTGCAATGAGAAAATACTTGGAAGTAATATTGACATTGTGCTGGTAATTAACCATAATAGGAAAACAAAATTGCCTAACAATTGCTGTATTTCTTTTTTATGCTGGTAGATATCTTTTGGATTTTGAAGGGCATGCCCAGAAAGCCCCTTAGAACAAAAACTTCGAAGACAGGGCCAGTCTGGATTGAAGCTGTATGATGAGTACCTGCAGTAGTGCTTGGCACACAGTGGTGCCCAAAAAATATTTGTTGACAGACTGATAAGTTTCCAGATTCTTTGAGTAGCATATTAGAAGTTAGGTTGATGACACTAGTTCTTTATTGTACATCTCTATTCCATGTAAAAATGTGTTTTCCTTGACAATTTTTTTTTTTCTTAAAGTTATCAGGATCAAGTAAGACTATCTTTTGCTCATTAAAGAATGAAATGAGAGGAGAACTTTTCCTGAGGTAACTAGGCTAGGTTGGAAGACCAAAGTATTTTCCAAGCATTTAGGTATAGTTATCTAAAGTCGATTTGTAGTCTCAGTTGTGAAAGTTTGAGCGATAGAAGGGAGCTTAGCCTGAGAACAGTTCTCTCCTTTAGGTAAATAAAAGATGTTTTAAGGATGAGGTGTTTTGTCAGTTTCCTAGGCTGGCTGGCTGGTATTGCCACCGACGCTGAGCAGCTTTGGTGTGGGGATCTTATAAAATGCAGCTTCTGATTCAGAGAGCTGGGCATAGTACTCTGTAGTTGTAATGAGATTCCAGGTGATACTTCTGCTGCATGTTCCAGGACCGCATTGAGTAACACGTGCAGGTCCCCAGGTGATTTGTATGTACGTTCAAAAGTCTGAGAACACTAGCGCAGTAGTCTTCAAACTTTTCACTTTTGTATCCCCTACTTTTTTCTGAAAAATTGAGTACTACCTTGCACAGTTTTAAGGAATCATCTGAAAATATTTTATTGTATGTTTAATATTTTCAAGAGATGTAATTTCCAGCACGTTGGTATTTTTAAATGAATACATATTACTTTATATGTGATGGAGTACAGATAGCATAGGAGTGACATACAGTTTTAATACCTTGCATTATCCATTTAAAAATTAAGAAAAAGTTTTTAATAGATGGAATTTTATGTTCCTTTTTGTTGTACTTCTTGCAATAAAAGTTATGTATCAACATTTACACTTTTTTGTGTTTATATACTATAAGTTTTAAGAATTAAAACTTTTCTAGGTTGAGACGTTGCTATCATTAATAGTTGTACATAGCTGATCAATATAACATGTACTAAAAGTGTTGCTGGCCAGGTGTGGTGGCTCATGCTCATAATCCCAGCACTTTGGGAGGCCAAAAGGAAAGATCACTTGAACCCAGGAGGTCAAGGCTATGGTGAGCTATGATTGTGCTAGTGCGGTCCAGCCTGGGTGACAGAGCAAGACTCTCTCTTTTTCTTTCTTTCTTTCTTTTTTTTTTTAATAAAGTTATCTAAAACTTTTTCCCAATTTTTTTTATATATTTGTGGGTGACTTTTATGTATTTCTAGGATGAGAAAAGATTTAGCATTGATTATGCTATTTTTTTTTAACTGACGTAAATTCTGAGAAACTTTAGTCACATAAGTAAGAAGATGGCAGTGAATGGAGTTTAATTATAGCCATGCATCAGGTCCTTGAATTTCTTCTAAATTATTCATGAAAAATTACATGATTTATTGTAAAAAATTATGTTGTTCTGCAGTTTTGATAAGCAAAGAATTGGGAATTGCCTGACTTGCCAAAGATGTTAGAGTTATTTACTTTTTCAACACCTGTGTTTTCACCTTCAGATAATATGTAATGATTTTGATTGTGAAACTTTGACTATGTAGGCACAGCTGTCTAGGAGATTAACTTGTGGAAAGGGTATGTAAGGAAATCAAAGATCTGCAAGTTAATTGTTTTAAAAGTATCTTTGCAAAGTACCTGTTGGTCTTTGTATA